TTCAAATTCAAAGCACAAATAATTTCAAGTAAGTTGAAGACATTTCAGACAGGTGTAAAGAATGGTACATGTGTCAAAAGGAATTTCCACTCTTGTGTATGTGAGAAGCAAAAATTTCTTGATGCAAGTTTCTGAATCAGAGACTACCTTGGATCAAAAGTTTGTTACCCAAACTTTGATTAAGATACCATCTGACTAACATCTGATTTAGATTCTTCATTTAGAGTAAAGCAAACATTATTATGTTCAGAACCCATTTTTGACTAAATAATTTTTGGAAGAATTATGAGTTGTATCTTAACTGTTAGTTCAGTGAAGAACACAACATATACAGGCTTCTTCTTATCACTAGCAAGAAGGCTATCTTCAATAATGTTTAAAGATAACTCGTTATTTCAACATGACATTGATATTATCACAAACAATGATAATATCCAATTTACCAGTCTGAAAGTTCTTAAGCTAATTTCTTCCAAGGTATTTGAGCGTGAAGATTACACACACTTAACTACCTTGTACAGAAAATTACGCTTGAAATAGAAAATAATTAACAGAACTTACCTGGATAGAATTTATGATTCAGGATCTCCAGCCTGTTTTGATGAAGTAATTATGACTTGTTCGGGAGCTAACATATTGAACTATATTCTTTAAAAGGATAACACCATTGAGAAAGAGACTAGTTGCTTTCAATAGATTCCTTCATCTTTTTGCCACCCTTCTTTTCATACTAAGATGAAAACATACTTTCCCCACAAGATCTTTATATGCACCACTGTAAAGTGTTATGCACAAACCAAACTCTGATGCCAATTGAATGTGAGGAAATACACAAGAAGGGAGGGGGGTTGAATTATGGTTATTAAAAACGTTTATGCTTCTGAACAGAGTTCAGGTTCTAAACATTAGTTCAGAACCTGATAACAAGTGCAGCGGAAAATATATCAAAAGTAAACCAAATAGAACAATGAACACAATAGATTTATCTTGGTTCCTCCCAAACTGAGAGTAGTCAAGCCCCTTGTAGCGCAAGATATTTTCCACTATAATCAACCCATGATTAAAGCTGCTTAAGCACAAGAATTTTACTGCTCAGACATACAGCTTATGACTTCTTGCTCACACGACACCTGATCAAGACTTCTCTGCTTAGATTCTTAGATACTAAGACTTTCCTTGCTCAAATCCTCCTGGTTCAAGACTTCCTTTCTTAGACCCACTGTCTAAGACTTCTTTTGTCAAATCCTCAATCCAAGACTTCACTGCTTAGACACACCATCTAAGACTTCTTTGCTCAGATTCTCAATCTAAGACTTAACTTGCTTAATCAAAATAGATCAAGACTTTCAATGCTCAAGCACATAGCAAGAGACTAACTTGGTTCAAGCTTTTCAACTAGATAATTTTATGCTCAAACACTTAGCAAGAGACTTTGATCTAAACTACTAAATAACATGTTCAGCAGAATAGAGAGCAAGGTGTACTTGATACCAATATCAGAGGTACATGGTAATCACCTTAACAAACACCTTAAGCATTTAAGATTTCCAAGATTTTAAATGTTTAGGAAATCTTAAGGCTTGTTACAATTTACAATAAGTAACAGAAGATTATGAATATTAAATAGTGTTGCCCATTCTTGATATTGTTATGTCTTTATTCAGAAAGAAATGTTGAACACTTCTAATCTTCTTGGAATTCCTTATCATTCTTGTTCCTTGTTTAAGATTCAAATTTAACCTTCATCTACTTATATAACAGTTGCAGAAGACTAGCAGTTGGAAGAGATAACTTGATCAAGTGTCTTTGTTTTCTCCATAGTACAAGAGACGTTAAGGATAAATACACCGAAAGATCTTGATCCATTGTATAACATGTTTAAATGTTGTCTTCAATTATATCCTATACTATAGAGCCATTGAGAGTTGTCATCCGCAAAGTACGTCAATTGTTCTTGAGCCATGTGAACTTAGACTTTAGCTAACAAAATGATTTGATAATACAACTTGCTTTCGGCAATACTGACAGCTTTAGCTTTGCTACTACTTCTGAACGATTACCAGAACCTAATACAATTATCAAGTGTAGAGGCAATGTGTTGCTTCTTCTGATGCTGACTCCTTCAACTTCAGAGTCTACGCCAGACATCACTTAGAGAGTGTTCTTCAGATTCAGTACCATCATAAGCAATTAACTCAGATTCTCTCAAGTGCGCCTTTATATCAAATTCTGAATATATTTATTTAAGCATAAGAGCCTGCATACTTGAACATACATTAGATAACACCATTATTCTTTTAATACTTTTGTTATCATCAAAACCAATGATATATGTCATGAACAAATCTTTTTTAACAGAATAAGGTTCCATAAAAGGTATGGAGTGACAAGAAACCATCTATGAATCATCTTAAAGTGTTTGGCTCGGTTTTTTACAAACATGTGTCTGATGATAAAAGGAAAAATCTGAATGACAAGAGTGAAGCCTCTATTCTGGTTGGCTATCACAAAACTGGTGCTTATAGATTATTTAATCCAATCAATGAGAAGATTATAACCAGTAGATACATTATTACTGATGAAAATGAAGCATGGAACTGGACATCAAATAACACAAGTAGTAACTCAGGGTTGGAGGAAGAGTTATAAGAAGAAGAAGAAAATGTTATACTAGCTAACTTGCATGCAGATGTACATGTGTTGATTCAGAGGCCTCAGAGAAGAAGGATTCCCTAACAAGATTAGAAGATTGTGAGGTAATTACTAACAAAGAGGTTACAGAGGATGAGTATCTTGTTCATTTTTACTTACTAGTTGATGCAAAACCTATCAAGCATAATGCGACCATGAAGAGTGAAGCATGGAATAATTCTATGGTTGAAGAGTTGGCAAAGATAGAAAGGAATCATACATGGCAACTTGTAAAGTTACCAACCAACACAAAAGCAATTGAGGTAAAATGGATCTATAAGCTGAAGCACAATCCTGATGGCTCAATAGCTAAGCATAAAACCAGGTTAGTAGTAAGAAGATTTCTGCATAGAACATGTATTGACTACTCAGAAGTGTATGCTCCAGTTTCTAGATTGGAAATAATTAGGTTGGTAGTTGCCTTGGCCTACAAGAAAAACTGGTTGTCATACCATCTTGATGTGAAATTGATATTTCTCAGTCAACCATTAGATGAAGAGGTCTATGTTAGACAACCTCCAGATTTTGTGAAAGAAGGGAAAGAAAAGATGGTGTATAGATTGCACAAAGCCCTCTATGGTCTCAAACAAGCACTAGGGTTATGGAACACGGAAGTTGACTTATACTTGGTGGAATTGGGTTTTACCAAATATAGATATGAATATGGTGTACGTGCAGTCCAAAGAAGGTGACATGATAATCATATGTTTAAATATTAATCATTTATTGGTCACAAGAAACAATATCAAATATCTTGACAAGTTCAAGTAGCTGATGATGAAGGAATTTGAAATGTCAGATTTGGGAGATCTATCCTATTTCTCAGGCATGAAGTTTCTAAAAATTGAAAGAGGTATGATTATGCATCAAAGGAAGTATGTTAAAGAAGTTCTTAAGAGATTCAACATGCTTGAATCTAGCCATACAACTTCACCTATTGAAGCAAACATGAAATTTGAGAATAATGGAGATGAGGACAAGGTCAATGCAACCCTGTTTAAGCAGATAATAGGCTCATTGAGATACCTATGTAATAACAGACCTAACATAGGATTTGTAGTTGGCTTGGTAAGCAGATACATGGACGATCCAAATGTATCACACATGAAAGTTGCAAGGAGAGTTCTACGATACCTAAATGGAACCATGAATTATGGTTTCTTGTTTCCTAGCAACACAAGTGATGATGATGCAGTAATCACATGCTATTAAGACTTAGATTGGTGTGGAGATAACTCTGACAAAAGGAGTACAACAAGCTATTTTTTCAAGACTTTTGGAGCACCAATCTCATGGTGCTCAAGGAAGCAACTAATTGTGGTGTTGTCTTCACGTGAAGTTAAATACATAGCAGGATCCTATGCAACATGCCAAACAATCTAGATTGAAACAATGCTGAAGGAATTAAAGGTTACAATTATAAAACCACTTGTTTTTCAATTGGATAACAAGCCAACTATCAACTTGGCAAGGAATCATATTCTTCATGGCAGAAGCAAACACATAAAATCCAAGTTTCATTTCTTGAGGGAACAAGTGATTCAATGAAAGTTTGAAATAAGACATTGTTCAAGTGAATCTCAGTTGGCTGAAATCTTCACCAAAGAATTGAAAGTTGACATGTTTTTGGCTCTTAAGTAAAAGTTAGAAGTGTTTCAATTCAATAATCAGTTTGTTTTGATGTTTTGTTATAATACTTAAAATAAATTATAAAAGGGCGTGTTGTTAGTTAATCCATTTAAAATAGTTAAAAGGTAGTTAATTAGTTAGTAACTATTTAGTCCGATTGCTTGGATTACAAGTCACACATCATTTTTCATATAAGTGAGGTGTGAAGTTTCATTCTAAAAGTAACTCATCCAATAATAATACACTCTTCTCACATATGTCTTAGACATCTACTCCAAAATCTTACATATTCTCTCTTTCTCTTTTCACCAAATGCACTATTAATTACTTAAATTAATTTAGTGGAGTGTCATGTCCATTACTTAAATTGATTTACTGAGATGACATATTATATTAATTTAACTATTTATTAATTATTAAATTAATTAATTGAAAGAAATTTTTTATTTTAATTTAATTATTAATTATCCATCAATAGAAAAAAAATTGGAGGAGAATTTGGCGGGGAATTTTGATAGGAGAAGTTATAGGATTATTGATATAAACGGGTTGAGTTTCCCTCTTCCGAGCCTCAAATACCGACTTTCATTGGACTCTTTCACCATCAACGAACACAAATAGCAACCTCCATTCTAAACTCGGCTTGATTTTTTTCCTCTATTTTAAGAACCGTTGCAGATATGGATTCAGGGTTTAATAGTTGTAGTTATTGCGGTACACTTGGAAGGAAGAGGATTGTGGTTTCCAATAACTATGAAGGTTCTTCTGATGAAGAAGATGAATCAATTCCAGTAAGGTCTCCATTGAAGAGAATGTGTAGTGGAAAATTCAATTCTGTTTATGACAAGTCTCGCCTTGAAGCCCTCCCTCAAGATGTTCTTGTAAGTATTGCAATTTCGATTTTAGGTTTTCAATTTCGATTATCTATTTAGAAATGTTGAAATTTGTTTATTTATTTTTATGTAAATTTAATTTGATTTTTTTGTTGGATTATTCACAGATTAGGGTTTTGTGTGGTGTGGATCATGATGATTTGGATCAAGTTTTTGATGTCTCTACAACAATTAGAGAAGCAGTAAGTGTGCATTTTCAGTGATGATTCAATCTGTGTTATTCATTGATTAGGTTATTTAAAAAAAAAACTTTTTTTGTGTTTTGATTTTGCAGAGTAAGATTGCTAAGCAGATGCATTTTGAGTTCAGTACTCCAAAGAAAAACACTGTTTCTGCGTTTCGTTCACCATTTCATATTGAAAATGGGTGTGATGAAATTGAAGCTCCAAATGCACCATTGATGTTAAAGAAATCAAAGTCAAGGTTGAGTACTAGGAAACTTGCTGATATCTCAGTTACACTGTTTCCTTGATTTGATTAAAATCATGGATTGGAAGAAAAGAGAAACATTAGCTTCCTTGATTTGTAGAGAAGAGAAGCATAAGTTATGATGAAAATTTGGATTAGGTTGAGTAAATATATTGCTCCTTTTGTTCTTGTATATTGAACTATACCTTAGGGAAGGACTTTTAGAGGTTTATGATCTTCAAGTTTTTGGTTGAAGATTGATTTTGCTTGTTTTTTATCTCTTCTGTACATCTATATATAGGCTTAATAGATCGAAGTCCTTCGAATATACTCAGAATGTTCATAACTCAGGTGAGTTTTTCTAGTTTTGATTGTAAAATTGTCTTTGGCAGCTAATGCTTAACAGTGCTTCACTATAAAGTGGAAAGAAGCAATTTAAAAACTCTCTCTTTTGGTTCACTATTGTTTATCTTTGTCATTAATATAGGCTTTATTTTAAGGATAATTATCTTCAATGAAGATAGGTTAGGATTTCCCATTATCTATTTACCCCTAGATGTCTTTAGATGTCTTTGTTGAGAGTTGGGATAGTGGGAATACGCTATATCTTAACCCAAAACTTCAAGGTGTTAAGTAAATGGGTTAATTAATCATCTCTCTTATAAATTTAACATTCCACCTATTCATAGGCGATGTGGGACTTTAATCACTCATAATTGCACCTAATAGTCTTCCATTTCATTTTTATTAGAAAACTACATTATTTTTGGTGCATCTAAACTAAGTTGAACTAGCTTATATAATCTCAAAACTTTGAGGTTTCCATTGGAATAAGCTTGAAATTTATGCCACCACAGTTTAATAGGTGGACATAGATAAAAATTTATATACATAAATGTGTGAACCCAATTAACTAGAGGCGAAGTAGCATATCATCTTAAAATAAGAATATCAATCGTATTCATGTCGATGGTTTACAAGCATTATGGTGGTGGGTATACTAATAATCAAGTTTCCTAAGAAATCCCTTTTCAAAATTATAGTACAGTCATAAAAATAATTATTGATTGGTGAGCTCTTTTTTTACGTAATGTGCTGGCTTTCCTTCGTGGAGCATCTGTGTGGTCTGGTAGCTGGTTTTTCTGTTTTATTTGGGAGGTTTTTCAGGTTAAGGCAAGAGGTTTCTTGGTGTGCTTCAGAGTTTCTCTTCCATTTGATTCTAGTGTCTAGGCTTGGTTTTATCTTTATCTTGTTTGATGCTTGTCCCTGGAGTGTTTTGGGCTCTCAGACAGGATCGGCGTGTTTCGGCAGCAGTTATCTCAGGTAGTCTTATCCAGAATCAAAGCTTGGTATCATCTTTGTAGAGTTTCATCCCTTCTGCATATTGGTAGTCTCTGGCAGTTGGCTAGTGTCCTCTTGAAGTCTTTAGCAATTGGTTGTTTTGGTGTAGTTGCTCATTGAGTCGGAGGCCTGATAGTATAGCTGCGGTGTCGAGTTTTTTTAACCCAAATTGATCGGGCTGGTTGAGAGTTTTTCGGCTTTGAAGTTCTTTTGGGAGGGCTGGTTGAGAGTTTTTCGGCTTTGAAGTTCTTTTGGGAGGGCAGTCCCGGAGATTTTCTATTAAATTTTTAGCTCTGTGGTCGGCTTGTCCTTTAGGTGCATCTTTATGGAGTTTGTGCCAGCTTCCTCCTGTGAGTTTGCTTGGTTCTGATATCGAGACTCCGGTCGGTTTTGGATTCTTAATTCTGTGGCAAGATCCTGTCATCATCTCAGGTTGCTGATTGTGGGCTGGAGGTGTATGTTTCTTTTAATTTGTGTGGGAGATATGTTTCAGCCAAATTGAGAGGCTCTATATGGTTCAAGGCCTGTTTGTTTAGTTTGCGCATTGGTGGTTCTGTTGGCGTTGATCGGCATCTGCTGCCTTGGCTGGAGTATGGTTCTGCATCGTCGATTTTGTGGTTTTATTTTTGGCTTGGAGCAGGTCTTTCCTTAGTAAAGGGATTGATTTTGGGTCTTTTTTCTGCTGGTCCGGGGCAAGGTTTTTTAGCCTGGTTTTTGTGGCTGCTCTGTGACCAGTGGCATTGTGTTTCAGTGTTGTGTTGGAGCGTTTGCAGTAGTATCATCGTTGAATCATTTGTCTGTCTGTATTCAGCTTAATGGCCTTTTGCTATAGTTTTTCTTAAAGGCGTTTTGCAATAGTTTTTCTGTTGAAGCTTTTCTTGTTTTTGGTCAGAGTTCCTGGTGTTTTAGGTGTAGTTTGCTTGACAATGTCTGTCATTATGTCATGTTGTTGTATTCTTGCGCTTCTTTTTAATTGCATCTTTTGGCCTTTAAAAAGAAACCAAATAAGTAAGTTGTGCAATTACACACATGAAAACTTTTTTGTTTTATTTTAAATTTTATATATTTATAAAGACCCCACATCGAAACCTTGATGCATAACTTCAACAAATGAGTAATTAGACAAATGATATTATTTCAGCTAAGCAAAATGTACAAACTTAACTTAATCATTAAACATAAAAAGGCAGTAGAAATCAAATCAAGAATCAAACAAAAATGGATTTGGAAGGAAGATACTAGTAGTTATTTAGTTGGAATATTTACATTCGCTTTAAGAATGGTACTTTCTGCCATGTGTGGTTAAAGTCGTCGTTGTTATCTGACAATACAACATGGTCACTATTACAATATAAAGGCCAAAGTCTAATTTATATTTATGAATAACATAGTGAGAATTTAATAACACATAAAAGAAAAAAAAATATAAAGAAATAAGTATATGTGTAATGTTTATACCTACATATTGTTGATCAATTTAGTGATCTGTCAATAGTTGTGAAATATTTAATGTATTTTATTTTCTTATTATTATTTTTTTGATAACATATATTTAATGTATTTTACAACTAGCTACTTGGTGTACGTTTGAAATAACGTTTCAATGACTAGTTTTTACATTCCAATAATTTTTTTTAACGAGAATTAAAAGATCTAAGTTTTAATTTATACATTAATGCTATTTTTTCAGCTGATTTAGTTCAAAGTAATTCAATACCAAACACATATTTAGTGTCTAAGTTATAACAGAGTGAAGCTCATCACATTATGATGGTGAGTCACAACTATTTTGTCCATGGCTAAATGCTTTTCCATTTTTTCAAAGTGAATGTTAACATTAATCTCATATATATTACAAAAAGCATGCAGAGCCATGTCAAAATTTTTAAAGATTCTATGTCTGATTAGTCTAAGTTTAATTATGAAAAATTAAATAAGTTTCTCTATAATTTTATTTTTGATATGCTGAAAAAGTAGACATTCTAGTTATCTCCAAAATCATAAGTGGGAGTACCTTACCTAGGTTTTTTAATTTAATTTTTTTTAAAGGAAACATCATAATTGACAACATTAATAATTGAAGAAGTTTAATGGCATTTAAAAAATATACATTTCTATTCCTTTATATAAGAGATGGGTTATTTTTTAGATTTATTGAATAACAAATGTATCTAATCTATAAATTGATCAAATATATTGATTATTCAATAAATCTAAAAAATGAATTGTCACTTATATAAAGGTTTACGTGGTTATTAGAAGAAAACTTTCGCGCATGGGAGAATGAAGCGTTAGTTTGTGCTTCGTGTCGGAATGGATAAAACATCATTTATTTTTAAAAAGTTTGCGGTCACACTAAGGTGGGAAAAGATAGTATGATCAGTTGGATTGTTTTTAGGTGGATGATAAGTATTCGAAAAGCGAGCTCTACAGGTAGTATCCAATTACTTGGGGAAGAAAGAGGCCTACGCCAAATTAATCATTTTTTATCTGATTTTATTGTGAAATATGTGATGCAAATCGAGTCGTCGTTCCTTAACGGAACATGATTATTCGAAAAACGAGCTCTATAGCTAGTATCCAAACACTCGGGAAAGAAAGAGGCCTACGCTCAATTAATCATTTTTCATCCGTGAAATAATAACTAAATTTTGTTAATTATTGTTGTCATACCCCAAATTTTACCCTCAGATCCTCTGATCATTTGCATATCATTTTAAGTCAACCTTTCTTTGCATTTGTAGTCATGTAGTCCATTAATCATAGTCATGCATTTTTTTTGTTTAATTTTGTCACCTTTTATCATCTTGATTTTTGTTTGTTTTTGTTCCGTAAATTTCTTATCTCATTCTTTTTAATTCAATTTTTCAGGCATAATTTTTACATTTAATCTGTATTTTTAAAGTTTAGAACTTTATGTTGTTTAATCACTAGTTTAATTTAAAATTTATTTCTTCTTTTTATTATTTATTTATAATAATTATTAGTTATTTATTTATTTTTATTTATTATTAATTAATTATTTTAATTATTATTATTATTATTATTATTATTATTATTATTATTATTATTATTATTATTATTATTATTATTATTAGTATAACTATAATTTCAGTTATTATTATTAATACAAGTTTATAAGAAAAACAAATTCCAAAATGTCTTGCTACACTCCAACCTATGCAATCCTATGCCCTCCAACCTATGCAATCCTACGCCCAAGAAAACAAAATTTCTGCTACAAGCTTTGACCATTTCAAGCCAAAATTTCTTTCACCAAGCTAAAACCCTGCGCATAACCGTACCATATTTGCCACCCAATCTTGCTGTAAACATTGCTACCACTTGTTGCCAAACCCGTCCTGTCTGCATCATCTGTACCAGATTTACACACTAACCCAGTCCTACATAAAAGCTGCTACACAATATCTGCACTTGTCAAGCCAAAACCATGCTACAATTGATAAGAGGCCCATCCGTATTAGGGCCCAACCTAAATGGATGGAAGACTTTATTCCCAAATAATATTTATTTTTAATTTTTATCTATTGTTGCTAGTACTATGTTATAGTTGGGCTGACCCATTAACCATTTTAATTAGGGGTACCTTTGTATTTAAGGACTTGTGTTGTTAAAGGAAGAACTATGAATGAATTCACAAGTTATATTTTTCTCTCATAATTACTTTCTTATGTGTGTTCTTGGTTAACCTTAGATTTAGGA